TTTGAATTCGGTCCAGCCGTTTTTGAGAAAACGTCGATTTACGGCAAAAAAATCTGTTCACACACACATTCCAAATTTGGTCCCATTCGATTCAGAATGACTTGAAACGTCGAGAAAACATAAAATTAACGAATCGGATTTTTTGATGAACACATAAATTTCCCCTTCGGAAAGTTAAAACTACTTAAATTAAAATTAGATTTCAATTGCATAAATTATATATTGAATAAAAATTTGATTATATATAAAAAACTTTTTTGATATTGTTGTATGATTTTACGAAAAATCTAAATGTTTTATGGAATTAAGTACGCAATATGCAATTGTTTGTTAAGTAATGATACATAAATTCAGCTTTTCATAGAGATCTCGAAATTAGACAAGCTCTTGGAATCAACAATAAGGGTATTTTTACTAAGACTTTTAAATATATAATAAATATTTGCATATCATTACAATTCAAAGGTTTCTGAACATTTTGGCATATCTTAAAAGAAGTGTGTTTGTGTGAATATGTATGTATGTTTGCATGTGTCTGTCGTATATACATGCGGATACAATTTTTCGACGATGATTAAATATTGAGAAATCCGCCGAGAACACAGATCAAGCGATTTGAATGATTCAAAAAGCATTTGATTCCTATTGGTGAGGAAACATGCTGATTAGTTTTTGGTCATGGCAGGTCCAGCCGTTTTGAAGATACGAGACAAAAAGTGCAAAAGTTTTTGAGGGAATAGGGCATCCGATTTGAATGACTAATACTAACGAAATGAAGAACAGGACAAATTTTTGGGAAAGCAGGTCTAGCGGTTTTGGAGATCCAATGAAAGAAGTAAAAAAAAATGTCAATAACTTCGAATTATATTCACATTTCTATATGTCCCGTGTCAAGATTTATAATGTTTAACCGTAAGCCTGGGACGCCGCTCTTACGCCCTTTAACATTACGTTCCAAAACAGTTACGTAGTGCAATTGCTTTTAAAAAAAATCAAGATATTCAAAAATTTTAAGATATAAGACAAAATAAATATTTTCAACAATTTCAAGAAGCTTTTATTTTCAAAATTAAAAAAAAACTAGTGAGCTTAAGGCAAAATGCTGGAACTTCCCGTACCATTTTTTTTTTCAAACATATTTTAACATTTTAGAGAAAATTTAACTTTGGAAAAATTAGATTTTTGAGAAACTATAAATTTTAGACAAAAATTTACTTTTTTTAAAAAAAAGACTTGTTGAAAAAAATGTTTTCTTTATTTTGAAATATTTTGGAAATTCTGAACTTTTTTTCAAAGCAATCGTACTGCTTTAACTGCATAGAGATGAAATATCGAAGCGCGTAAGAGCTGCGTCGCCGTCTAACGGATAAACATTGGTACGGAACCCATAGAAATGTAAACAAAATTTATACTTATTGTTAAAATCTCTATAAAATATCTGATAATTTTATGTGCACATGTCTAATGATCAATTTTGACCGCCAAATGGCATTTTTTTACTTTTTTCACTAGATCTCCGAAACCGCTGGACCTGCCTTCATGATAATTTAATCAATTCTTCATCTTTTCAATACAAGTAAAATGTTTTTTGCATGATTAAAATCGGACGCTCCATTCTCTTAACAACTGAGTTACCGTGTGGCACTTTTTGCCCTGTATCTTAGAAACGGCTAGACATGCTTATGCCAAAAATTAATCAGCACGTCTCCTTATCAACAAAAATCAAATGTTTTTTGAATAATTGAATTCGGTTGCACCGTGCTCCCGAAATCGTCGACGAAAATTTGTATCCGCACACACATACGTACACACACACATAGGGCCGTGCCTGGGTATGTGGCCGCCTGCGTGCAAACATATATATGGCCGCCCTTGAAAATAATATAATAGCAAAATATCAAATATATTCTCACGAAAAAGTTCGACTTGTAATTTTTATGTTTTCTTGACCTTTCAAGTCCTTCTGAATCGTTTTACACAAAATTTGATAACAAAGTGTGCTTATGAGCCGATTTTTGACTTTCGCTAACGTTTTCTCAAAAATTCTCAAATCGATTTCAAAAATTTAAGTCATTTGATGTGACTAGGTAAGGACTAGCGTCTTAATCAACAGAAAAGTGTATAAATTTTAGTTCACGTTTTAACCAAACATCCTACATCGATTTCAGAAACTGTTCGAAAGATATCATTTGGAAATCGTGCCAATTAGTTTTGAGATATCGGTCGGGTCGTTTCTTCATATTTAATTGTTAATTTTTTTTCACGATGATATTTAATATTTATTTAAATTTAAATTTATTGCCGATAGAAATCATGGTCTCGAATATACCTAAATGTTTCGACAGTACGATATGCCGTTTGTATTTCAAAAATACTATAGAAGTTTGAACTAGCTGTAAGTGGAATTCTGTCTTGAGGCAATTATGGCATCGTGCCTTAAGGCAAATTGCTGGAACTTCCCGTACCGTAACGAAATGTTCGTGGAATACTGAATGTTTTCAAATAAATTATTATCTAATTATTTTAAAATAAATAAATAAATTATTTTCTAATATTTATAAGAATTATATAAACTGAATTGCAGAGTTGAAATTATTTGTAAAGTATATTAGAATTATAGTAAGAACTAAAAATAAAATCTGAAATATTTTCGATATACAAAAAACTAAAAAAAAAAAAAAAAAAAATGGAACAAAAATTTTTTTTCCAAAATCAATTATTTTGTTAAGACAAGCAGAAAGTTCTTTGAATCATTTAAATCGGACGCTTAGTTCTCTCAAAAAATGACATTTTTTACATATTTAGCTCCGTATCTTCAAAATGGCTGGGCCTGCCTTTGCCAAAAACTAATTAACACTTCTCTCAATCATTACTAATTGAATGTTTTTTAGATCATTCAAATCGGATACTCCGTTCTCTCAAAAATTCGATTTCTATTTTCTGCACTCTTTGCTCCGTATCTCCGAAACGGCTGGACCTGCCTTTGCCAAAAACTAATCAGCTCTTTTCCCTATCAATAGGAATAGAATGTTTTTTGAACCATTCCAATCGGTTGATCCGTACGCCCAAAAACGTGGGCGAAAATTTGTATCCATACATACATACACACACACACACACACACACACACACATCCATTTTTCTGAGGTATGCCAAAACGTTCAGAAACCTTCAAAACGTCGAGAAATGTAAAAATTTTCAATTCCGATTTTCGGCCCATTACAATAACTTACCCTACGGGAAGTTAAAAAATAAGCAGCGCTTTTTTACGTGAGAAAAATTTCATCTTTAGTCGATGTTTTCTTAAAAATACGCAATCCTATTTAAAAAATCGATGAAATTCGATAACCACTCGTGCTGGTTAGTTTTGCCTCACAATCGGCCGAGCCGTTTCTTTAGAATTATCAAAATAGTGTCAAATTTTTGGTCCACGTTATAGCCTAAATTTGTGAATTGATTTTGAAAATTCAAAAACCATTACAAAAGTATCATTTGAGAATCGTGCTGATTAGTTTTAGTCAATGATTGATCGAGTCGTTTATTTATTTTTAGTCGTCAATAACCGAGTTATTGATTAACATTTTTTTGGCGTTTTTGGATCCTCTTCTTAATGAACATACTACACATTTGTTTCTTGTTCAATAATATATAATTTTTTAACCATTTTTAAAAAATAACTAACATGTTTAGAAAATTTGTACAAAATTGAATAATCTGCGATAGTTTTTCACATTGCAATGCACTCATGAATTAATATATTTTGTATAGTTAAGTCGATTATTAACCCATTGTTGCGCCAATTTTTGAAAATCTATTCGCAACTCTTATAAAGACCGTGCCTATGGCGCTAGACACAGGCAACACACAACAAAAAGCCGGAACCTTCCGAAGACTTCCGAAGCCCTTCCAATCGAAATCCGATCGAGGACGACGAGGATCGCTTTCTCTCTTGCACTGCGGACTTAGAATAAAAATACATATAATCTTCGTCTTACAAAGTATCTGATATTATTAAATAAATTCGACGTTCTTGATATATAGTTGTTGGTGTTTGTTTTACATACTTTGTTTATTAAACTTTCTCAGTGATAATATATAATAAATGGCACAACACCATATTGGAAAGGGCAACTTGCTTGAAGACAAAGTTCCCCTTACACCGAGTTTATACATGATTTGGAAACCGAGTTTATATATAATGATTTGGAAACAAAGCCTTCAATAGCCGCTTTTTGATTCAAACTCGCTTTCAATACGGCCGCCTTCGGCTGATTTTTACTAAGGTCGTCTTTTAACTTAGCGGACTTTCAATACTGCCGCGAATTAATTCGGCGGATTTTAATTTTGACCTCTTAATCCAGCGGTCTATTAACTTGGCCGCCTTTTAATTCAGTGGACTTTTAATGCGACCGCTTTTTATTACGGCCGTTTTTTGATATGGCCGCCTTTAAATATGCTCTTTTTCTGATTTGGCCGCCCCTCGGCCGCCTCAAAAGGCGGCCGCTTGCGTGCGGTGCACGCACATACAAACATACACACACAGATCATCAATTTTTTCTGAGGTATGCCAAAATGTTCAGAAGGTTTTGAAATGTAGAGATGTATAAAAATTTTCATTAACGATTCTTTTCCGATTACTATAACTTACCCTACGAGAAGTTAACAAGATTAAAAAAAAAATCAAAAAATGAAACAAAATCAAATTTCCCAAAAATTTCTAGAAGCTTTTATTTTCAAAATTAAAAAAAAATTATAAATTAAGGTACGGTGCGAAAAGTTTCAGCGATTTGCCTTAAGGCACGACATGCCATGCACCACTAGTTGCTGATGCGATGCAAATCGAATTTTTATATGACAAAAATAATATTGTTTTATATATTCATTTGTAATTGTGCGTTTTATCAATTGGACGAGGAAGGGATAGATGTCAGAAGGCGTGGTTAATGCTTTAAATAAGACAGCGCCGTCAGCCAGCGCGCCAAAACTCAAAGAACAGCACAATACATTGTTTACCAGAAAGTGAAAATATCTGAAAAAAAATAAGTTGATATCTTGCAAGTATTATTTCATAGTAAAAATTCATTTCAATCTTCTTATTTAAGCAATATAGAGTGGTGTGGTATTAGTTTGTGCTTTTCCTGGAATTAAAATTCAGGTATGTTCAGGAACACTTGAATTCAAAATACATTTATTATATAGCGGATATTTCATGTAAATTGCACAATTTTAATTCGCAAATTATATTTATCATTTTATTTATTACAAAATGTTTTTTCGCAGTTGATTTGTGAACAAACTTTCTGAACAACAATTTCCATATTAAACTAAAAATGTACTTTAAGTGAGTTCATTTTAGGAGTGATAAAATATTAAAATGTACGTACTGTAGTAAAACGTATAGGAGCTATTCAAAAGCATCTCTTATACTACGATCTTGTAAATAACTAATATCTTTTACACAAAATATTTAGTATAATAATCATATTTAAAATTATATGGTTGATATATCAATATGTATAAGTTATATGCATTTTTTAACAATTATTTAAATCTATTCTATAATTAGAGCAATTGCAAATGTTAATTATAATATAAAATAATAAATTAAATAAGCATTCTTACATTTTTTCAATAACTTTTTAACTTTAACTAAGGGTAGTTATAGTAATTGACCGAAAATCTAAAATGAAAATCTTTGCATTGCTCGACGTTTTGAAGATTTCTGAATATTTTGGCATACCTCAGAAAAAATGCATATGTGTGTATGTGTGTGTGTGTGTTTTGTATGTCCGCATTTTTTTGTCCACGTTTTTGGGCGCACGGCTCAACCGATTTGAATAGTTCAAAAAACATTCGACTCATATTGATAGGGAGATGTGCTAATAGTTTTTGGCAAAGGCAGGTCCGGCCGTTTCGGAGATTCGGAGCAAAGAGTGCAGAAAATACAAATCGAGTTCTTGAGAAAACCTGAGTATCCAATTTGAATGATCTAAGAAACATTCAATTTGTAATGATTGGGAGAAGAGGTGATTAGTTTTTGACAAAGGCATGTCCAGCCATACAGAGCGAAATGTGCAAAAATGGCAGTTTTTGAGTGAACTAAACGTCCGATTTGAATTATTCACGGAACAGAATAATTACTTTTGGAAAAAAATGTTTTTAAAGATTTTATTTTTTTTTCAAGAAATTTTTTTTTTTTGTATATCGAAAATAATTCAGGTTTTAATTTTTATTCTGTTTTAATATACTTTGAAAAAGAATTTCAACTTTGCAATTTAGTTTATACAATTCTTATAAATATTAGACAATATTACAATATTTATAAAAATCTATATAAAAACATTTAATATTCCTCGATCATTTTGTTACGGGAAGTTCAAGCAATTTGCCTTAAGGCACGATACCATACACCACTAGTTGTTTTTTATAATACTAAATATGAGTTGCACATAAAGTTTAAAAAATCAGTTTATCATTTCTACTTTCTTTTAATTATTAACTTCCCGAAGGAGAAGTTTAGAAGTTTAGTTAGGAACATTCTAATTATATAATTTGTCGAATTTTAATCCATTCTGATAGGTTAAATTAAAAAATTGGAAAAAGAGTGTAAGCATGAGTATGTGTGTCTGTGAGCCAAAATGTTGCCTTATTTTTCATAAACGGCTACACCAATTCTAAACATTCAAAAGACATTTGATGAAACTCAATGAGAACTAGCGTTGATTAGTCTTGTGTGACGGTCGACCGAGCAGTTTTTTTATATTTAGCGACTAAGTGCAAATATTTTTGAAATTTGACATGTTAACCAAAAGATATCAGTTTTGAATCATATCGTTTAGTTTTTATTAACAACTAGTGGGGTGCATGGCATCGTGCTTTAAGGCAAATTGCTGGAACTTCCCGTACCGTAACAAAATGTTCGAGGAATATTAAATATTTTCAAATAGATTATTATAAATACTGTAACATTGTCTAATATTTATAAGAATTATACAAACTGAATTGCAAAGTTTAAATTATTTGTTTAAAGCATATTAAAACTTTAGTCAGAATTAAAATTAAAATCTGAATTATTTTCAATATTCAAAAAAAAAAAAAATTTTTGAAAAAAAAATTTTTTTTAAATTTTGAAACCAATTTTTTTCCAAAACAATTATTTTGTTGAAACATGCAGAAAGTTCTTTGAATCATTCAAATCGGACACTTAGTTCTCTCAAAAACTGCCATTTTTTGTACATTTAGCACTGTATCTTCGAAATGGCTGAACCTGCCTCTGCCAAAAACTAATCACCTCTTTTCCCAATCATTAAAAATTGAATGTTTTTAGATCATTCAAATCGCATAATCCGTTATCTCAAAAACTCGATTTGTATTTTCTGCACTCTTTGCTCTTTATCTCCGTAACTGCTGAACCTGCCTTTGTCAAAAACTAATCAGCACATTTCCCTAATAATAAGAATCGAATGTTCTTTAAATCATTCACATCGGTTGATCCGCCCGAAGACGTGAACGAAAAAATGCGGACACACAAAATACACACACACACACACATCCATTTTATCTAAGGTACGCCAAAATGTTCAGAAACCTTCAAAACGTCGAGAAATGCAAAAATTTTCAATTTCGATTTTTGGTCCATTACTATAACTGCCCTACGGGAAGTTAAAAACTAAATCTCTATTTTTGAAATAAACAGTTATAAACATTTTATCTTTATATCTGAAAGAATTGTTGCTGCAATTTCAATAATTATTAATATTATAAAGTTGATTATTTAACGTCGGGAAGTTAATGCAACTTTTCTTGAGTGAAAATGCGACCTGGTTTGAAAAATTATTCATTTAATACAAATTTCAAATGGTCTTATTTTGACGGGTTTTCACGTAATATTTACTATTATCACTAGTTATTATTTTCCATTTTACATTAAATTACTTTTACCGTTTTGATTCTTTATTATTTTAAAATAGAGATAAAAGATCTGAGTGTATTAATTTTGTTTGAGATATATTATAGAATCTACTACAGAAATATAATGATGGTTATTTTTACCAACTTGTTTTTATTAAGATGATCAAAGCTTTTTATTTAATATTGAAGTGCTAAACTAAAAGACGCAAGTGGTGATTGATATCAATAAAACAAAGTTGTTTTAAAATTAAGTAAATCTCTTTGGATATGGAAATCTAGAGTATTGCGTACATTTTAAACTTAGTCTTAATGGGTTCGTGCAAACATTTATTATTGAAAATAAATATTGTGACGTATTTTGAATACACCATAACGTGGAAAAACCGAAACTAGTGGAGCGCATGGCATCGTGCCTTAAGGCAAATTGCTGGAACTTCCCGTACCAAAAATTATTATTTTTTTTAAAAACGATTAACATTTTCGAAACAAATTTTCTTCGAAAAAATTAGATTTTTGAGAAACTATAAGTTTGACAAAAATTAATTTTTTTTTGAAAAAAAATGTTAATGAAAAAAATGTTTTCTTTATTTTCAAATATTTTGAAAATTCTGAACTTTTTTTCAAAGCAATCGTACTGCTTTAACTGCATAGAGACGGAATCTCAAAGCGCGTAAGCGCTGCGTCGCCGTCTAACGGTTAAACATTGATACGGAACCAGGGGCGTAGCGTGTCTTGGCGGGGCCCCGTATCAAAATTTGTTTGGAGGCCCCCTCATGAAAATTTTTTTTTTCATAAAATATAAATTTACATAAAATGAAAAGAATATTTATTTATCATTTTAATTATTTATCTATCTAATTCTCTCTAATTTTCTGAACTTTTTACAAATGATTCCAGATATTTATTCACTCTCCTTGCTTTTTTTGAAAAACTGAATTATTTAGTGATTTTAAATTTTATAAAGATTCTGTCTATAGAAACATACATGTCTAGTAGACGTTTCTGTCCTAAAGTTTTTAAGTAATTATTAATTAGTTTTAATTTTAAAAATATCATTTTAAAGCAGTTGCTATTGTAACTGCAATGGCCAAAGCTATGCAAACCGGTGCAAGCCTATTGCATTCATCATTGTATCTTAATAAAATAATTTTTTTAGATTTATGTATTCAAACCTATTTCTTGAACCATCAATTGAAAATTTATACTTATTGTTAAAATCTCTATAAAATATCTGATAATTTGATGTGCATATGTCTAATGATCATTTTTGACCGCCAAATGGCATTTTTTTTTACTTTTTTCACTAGATCTCCGAAACCGCCAGAAAATTTGATCAATTCTTCATCTTATCAATACAAGTAAAATGTTTTTTGAATTATTAAAATCGAACGCTCCGTTCTTTTAAAAACTGAGTTACCATTTTTGGCACTTTTTGCCCCGTATCTTCGAAACGGCTGGACCTGCCTTTGTGAAAAACTAATCAGCACGTCTCCTTATCTAGTAAGACATGACATTGCGTTTTAAAGCAAATCGCTTGAACTCCGTGTACTGCAAATTAAAATATTCATTAATATTATATTAAAATTATTTTAAAACTTTGAAAAAACTATATTGTTGAAAATTTTGAAACTTTTGAAAAAAAAATACTTTTGTGAAAGAGTTTTTTTTTAACATCCCGTAGGGTGTTGTGTGTGTGTGTGTTTTGTATGTCCGCATTTTTTCGGGCGCACGGATCAATCATTCGATTCCTATTGATAGGAAGATGTGCTGATTAGTTTTTGGCAAAGGCAGGTCCAGCTGTTACGGAGATACGGAGCAAAGAGTGCAGAAAATACAAATCGAGTTTTTGAGGGAACGGAGTATCCGATTTAAATGATCTAAAAAACATTCAGTTTGTAATGATTGGGAGAAGAGGTGATTAGTTTTTGGCAAAGCGGGTCCAGCCATTTCATAGATACAGAGCTAAATGTGCAATAAATGGCAGTTTTTGAGAGAACTAAGCTTCCAATTTGAATGACTCAAAGACCTTTCTGCTTGTTTCAACAAAATAATTGCTTTTGGAAAAAAAATTTTGGTTCTCATTTTTGTTTCAAAAAACAATTTTTTTCAAGCATTTTTTGTATATCGAAACTAATTCAGATTTTAGTTTTAATTCTGTTCTAAATTAGAACTTCTAATATATCTTAAACAAATAATTTCAAGTTTGAAATACAGTTATATAATTCTTATAAATATTAGACAATG